AGATCGGTTGAAGCTTCAGGAACAGCGCTTGGCAAAATTTTGCGTAACAGCTCACTACCAGTCAGTCTACTGCCGTACGGAATAATTCAACTGGGGACTTCCCAAAAATCCGATCCGACAGCACCAGTAGGCAAGTGACTTTCAAATAAAGACCTAAATTTACCCCAGTTGGGAAAGAATTCGAGATCTTAGTCATTACTACTTTTTTGGCTTCAAAACAAATACCGAAAGTTACACCTGTGTGGCTCAAGTTCTCCAGGATAATCGATTGGCATGATGCCAGCACTGATAATTTGATTTCAATCCACTACTGTACCGACCCATTCGAGCGAGGATTTTTCTATTAATCCGACAGCACCAATAGGCAAGTAGCTTCCAAATAAAGACCTACATTTACCCCGGAATGGAAAGAATTCGAGATCTTAGTCATTACTACTCTCTCAGCTCTAAAACAATTACCGAAAGTTACACCTGTGTGGCTCAAGTTCTCCAGGATAATCAATTGGCACTATGCCAGCACTGATAATTTGATTTCAATGCCACTACTGTAGCGATCCATTCGAGCGAGGATTTTTCTATTAATCCGACAGCACCAACATGCAAGTGGCTTTCTAAAGAAAAAACTGCATTCACACCGGATGAGACAGAATTCAAAATTCAGTCATTACTGCTCTTTCAGCTTTGGAAAAACTGATTGGAAATCACAACATGTGCGGCTCGAGTTTTCCAGGATTATCGATCGGCATTATGCAGGCACTGATAGTTTGGTTTTAGTCCATATTGGATCACAGACTGATATAATAAATTTACGATCACTGATTAAATTTAGTTCGGAACATTAAGGCCTTCTGTACACTCGTGGTCGATTGTTGATATCATCACACACCTGGAGGCTAAAAAGAGGCTCACATGGGAAAATAACCCATACGTGGGTTCGGCTTTGGTCCCATGAATGGGCTTAATTAATTACTCGATTTTTTCGTGGATAGCTACACCACTAAAACTTTACAGAAAAATAAGCGGAATTCATTGTGCTGAATTACTGGATCCCTATTTGGAAGAGAAGTAGCATTTCAGGATAAACAGAGTGAACAGCTGGGACAAGGTGCTCCATGTTGACGGGTGCTCCTAGAATGCTTCACTCGTTATGGAAAGCAGTTGATTGACTTCACAAAGAGAGTGCTCCTTGGATCACACGATGTTCACATCAGTGTTCCATTGTGTGAGCCACAGAAGAATCAGAATGAACGGACGCTCAATTAGTACTCCTTCCCAAGCTTTCATAGCTTTTTCTGGGATAATTCGTGATAGAATAGTAAAATTCGTCCATGCCCACCTAAGCCACAGTCTCTCTGGGCCAAGCATTACCAGACTTATCTGGGAAGATAACCATTCCTACTCGTGCACCACTTACGCCACCTAGTCCTTTTATAGGACAAATCGTACTCAAATAATACTACGATTCTCATTGGCAGTAGAATGCGTGGCGCATGCCAAAAAGACGATTTATCAACGCCACACGCTTTATTCTCTCCTCACTGAAATTCAGGAGTAAAATTCCTTCTTTTGTGGCTGAGACTCATCTCTTTTGTTGACACCTTCCAAGCGTTGAACTGAAGTGCTACTTGGCATGTGAATGGTTCGTTCCCTTAGCAGTTGGAAGCAACCTCTTTCTGAAGCGTTTCAAGGCCAGGCAACGAAAACCCATTCAGAGTGCTTGGAAACTGAACACACAATAATGCTGCAGTACGGCTGCAAGTACCCCCTATCCTTTCACTGATCTCGAATCAACACCAAAAACGTGCTCCACCCAGAACGTATTTACTTGTTTATCGTTCAACCTTAATGTTGGGCTCCCTTGCATTTACTGGTGGATAAGTGATGCAGAGACTTTACCTATTACTAAATTGTTTGAGTGCCATTTGGCCTATACAGTAGCCTACCGATCCGGCCGATGTACAAGCTAGAATTTTTATCCATTCAAACAACTCTGGAACCATTTTAACGACCTTAATGATGGAAGGTATGTATAGCCTGGACGGCGACGATACCGAATGTGATCTCATTCGTGTGTCCCTAAGGACGCCAACAAGGAGCGAATAATTGCTTTAAGGCTCAATATCACTAGGTGACAAAATTTTACACTCCCTACTTTTATTTTTTTGCTGATATATGTCTAAATGCTTTCAGTGTCTAACTTTTACTACTTTTACTGGGACGTTCCTCACCCAGACCATTCGTTTTGCCTCAAGAATTATTTGGCCTCCTCAAACCGCCAGTTTCTTGTCTTAGGTCCTCACTTTTTTTGTGAATTCCTCGATCCCTCGATTATTTGTCGATCCCTCGATTTCGATAAGACAGCGCAGCGCCGGCAGCCATCGACATGGTAGATCAAAAGCGGATATCCGATATCCGATCAATGAAGATGGCGAAGATCAAAGGGAAAATTTTTCAGTGATTTCCTCATAACTTTTGCTAGGCTGTGTAGTGGTTCCAACGCTGAATTCCAGTGTGCGTTTTTTTATTCTTTATCGCCACTTTTGAAAGGATTTATTTCATATTGAAACTTGCACCGGCTTTCTGCCAACCCGCAGGCAAGGCTCTTATCAACGATCGATCGACGATTTGCAACCCTGTCACCTTTCTGCTGGATGTCCGTGGAATTAGAGACGACCGAAGAACGGAAGATTCCAAAGGGAAGTTGGGGGGGGGGGGTGCCGAAACCCTCACGAGGGGAGAGGTCTTCGGTGCTATACAAGTAGGGTGGGCACGCCGCATTTTTTGAACAGAAATGTATGTAAGTGGGACTGCTGCCCGCTACTATACTGTCACGAGAATCGGGGAATTCGTGAGCCAGGGGGAGTGTAGCCAATCTAGGGGGGGGGGGCAGTCACTTGACATGCGTGAAAAGCTGGGCGTGCCCACCCCACTTGTATAGCACCAGCTCTTCAACCCTTTTAGAGGGAACAGATCTTTCATCATTTGATTAGAGCGTACGGCTTAATCGGTGCGATTATTGGTTTTGTCATGGGTCTCACAGTTCTTATTTGAAATTTTGTAACTGTTTAATTTCCCTAGTAAAATTCCCTATTCATATTTATTCCCCCACAGGCCCGACAAGCATTCAAGGGCGATGTCAGGAATGGTGTCAGTTGGGGTGATATCAGGATCCAGAAGGGTAATGAAGCGCAGAAGGAAGTACCTTGCTGCAGGATAATTGTTGTCAGAGAGCTTAGAAAGGGTCCTCCCCCCTGTCGGTTCCACTTATACTGCTGGAGGTTTGGAATTCATTACTGGGGTTCCTCAGACACCTTTCAAGCACATTTCCGGCGAGTACTTCATGCAGCTGGAACGATCACGCTTAGCAAAACTTCCTAGTTCAAGATTTATGAGTTGGACGAGAAGCACACCCCTGCATTTCAATTCTTGAGGGTACATAAAATTGGCGAGCTGCCAGGTAAGACTTCACCAAGTCTCCCAAAAAATGGAAGTGAGTCAGTTGTTCTACTGTTCTTCCTGTACCAACACCTTCTTCTCATGGGTGTCGTTCTCCATTGTCAATTTTCCAATATGGCAGATTGTATTCCTGCTGCTACATAGGCACCTAGCTAAATAGGCTGTAATAGATTTGTGGGTACATTTATGGAGATTGAGTTGAAGTCTACTTGATTAGGCCACAATTTTAGTCGCTTGATGATTCTGTTATAGTCATATTGGACATTGGACCACCTATCCCCAACGGATTGCGCCGCAGCAGAGACGAGAGGGTACCATGGAAGATTTCTTAGCCACACGTTCGAAGTACTGTGAATTTTTTAGAATTCACTAGTCTAAAAACGAACTGGATCCTTCTACCTTTCTTGGACCCAAAAACTATAACTAAATCAAAAACTTGAAAATCTAACTGATACTAGCAACATCGGAATTACTCGATATGGATACACAGAGCCTACAGTGCAAAGGCGAGCGGCATGGGAAACATTTAGGCAGAGGTAGGAATGATGACCTTACTGGGTACCATCCATTTCGGAAGGTGAGAAGAGCGTCGAGTGCAGACCACACACCACAAGTGACGACGGCCGAGAACAAGTGGCTTTATCTTCTTGGATGTCGTCATTTGTGCTGTATGTTCTGCACTCAACGCTCATCTCATCTTCCGAAGTAGAGGTTAGGTGTTTCATAACGGAGCTATTTTACAAAACGGTTTCTCATATGAGCACGTGTGAATGTGGTGCAGTGGCGAGTGGCGCCACTTGCAGTTCGCACGGTGTCAAAGCCTGGATCGAATCTCACCCAGGCCAACCATGAGGACATATACACTCGCACTCTTTTTTCAGCAAACCCAGGACCGCTCAAGAAAAAAGTTAACCTGAAAGACATTCTGAGATGTAGTAATAGTAACCTCCTTTGTTGGGTAACCCTGGAAACCGCAAAATCCGATTTGAACACTCCCAACTTCTTGACCGACCCCCCACGTAGAACCGCTAGGCAAGACCTTGACTACTTTGTAGGTGTAGCAATGACAACATACTGTGGAAAAACATTTTTTGAACCTAAACTCTGAGAAAAATAAAATGAAAGCATTACTATGAACAGCACCGAAACGTACCGATGGCACAAGATTATACAGATCAGATTATGGAGCAGCGGTGACACATGACACACGGATGGGTATGATAAAGTATGGAAACAGATAACATCGGTCATTCTTCGGCGTTTCATCAATCAATACGTACTTGTAAGACACCTACAAATTCAGTCATCGATAGTTAATATTCTTCTCTGTATTGAGCTCTTCAATTAGAGGAACGGCGCATCATATCTAAGAGCAAATGCAATTTCTCAAAGGCTACTTTTGATGAGGGTACAGATGAGGGTTATGGATTAAATGCAACTCATACTTATCATCAAGCTCACACCGGACAAAAACGACTATCAAACTCACGCTACTCGTATTACTATATAGTACACTAATTTACTAATTATCCAAGGGCCAACCCCTATTTCTCATTCCACTGCTGTGCTTCGTACTCATCTTGTTCGCTATCTTCTTCTGAGTCCGATTCATGAGGTGTGGTGGGGCCGGAGACCGACGGCGTTCCTGGCGCTGATATCGGACGTGGAACCATCGTCATTGCATCCGATAAACGCATCTGAATATTCACGACGTAGCATTTTGGGACACTTATCAGTCCACAGTTACTTCGAATAGGAAGGAGTGCAGAGAAAAACTCAAGTGATTCATAAGCTGTTCCGAACAAGCCAAAGCGTATTGCCATCATTGTAGGAATAAGTAATACAACCTGTTTTGTAAGTAAAAGCTCAAACCCTCAACAGCCCGCAAAATGTGATGAAGAAGGATAAACTGTCCGGACAGCCCTTTCAGATGCGCCACGCATACGAAATCCATTCAGGCCTTAGGAATCGCTAGAATGCGTACTTGTCCCAAACAATGAATCATCACGCCAGCCATTGTTCTGCTCAGCGCTTGTATCCTAGTATCCTAAATCTCTAGTCAGATATCAACCCTCAAAGGTGGAATCCTTACCTACTAGAGGCGATAATCCAAATATCCGATGTCCTAGCGCTGAATCCTTCATTATGTTCGGTAATCCAAATTCGAGAAACCCAAAATCCCTTCCCTAATCGTCGCTTTTTGAAGGTGGTCCACCTCTCCACTCTCACGCGCAAAGCCTTCGTATCCGTACACCTTTTGTGAGAGCGATTTTAGGAACACCAGATTAACGACGTGAGTGCACGAAATTCTTTGGAATTTTTACGCCTTTGCATTTTATGGGCACCATTCACAAGAATTTACCACTAAATTTTATTGTTTTTATTTTTGGAATCGCGGAGCAAGGATTACCGACACCACTCACAAGAATTTCTTACTAAATTTTATTGCTTTTTATTCTTTTCGAAAATGCGGAGCAAGGATTGTCAAGGTTGTAAAATCTCATTCTAAATATAGCATTTTCCACTGCAATGTGTTGGTTGTAATTTTGGTACATAAGAAACTAACTTCAAGATCCGGATGTCTTTTCTTCAGAGCCATCCTTCTCGCGTCCCGGTAGAACTAAACAACCATTTGTATAGAGCAAAAAAAATTAAAAAGAAAAAAAAACAGTGCTCGTACACACCAATATCTTTCTAACGGGTGGTCCAATAAAATATCTGTGTCACTATTTCCTAAAACTTTCAACCAGTGGTATTTAATGCGTGAAGGTTGAGTGTGCACAGTGATTCATAAAATGGTCCAATCCGTGAGCAATGAATATCGTACAATTCATAATAGTAATCCGACTGTGCCACTAGGTCCTAAGATAGTATCTATCCTCATAATCTGACCGTGGGTCCAAAAAGATACCAGGCAAATTGCAGAATATCTCGGTGTGAATTCAATTCATCTTCTGCACCCGCTCCGAAATTTTTACCATTTCCAATCGAACCCTCCCACCCCCCCCCCCTTAAACCGTGTCACCAGTAAGCAGATGAGAGCCAGCTGGGAACCCGTTCAGAGCTCCTCGATGACCTAATCTAATGAACGTCACTGAGGTAATATGAACCAACCATTGAAAGCGTCTTCCAATCCAATAATTCACTTAAACGCTCTGTGCGATTACGGACAATTATACGTTGACGACGCGACAAACACCTGAAAACGGACAACTGTCACAATTTTGTCAAAAACAGAAAACTCATTTATCGCTTAGCGAAACCCGGAATGTTTCTCCTTTTCCCTCACCCAGCCCTGCCCGTCCCACTTATTCTTCACGCAGCTCACGTTACTCACACGTTAATGATCTCATCCATTCGTAGTCCGACTACAACAGATCCCAAGGGTGCGAAAGCGTTTCTGATTTCTGACTTTTACACACACCCACGTTGACGTCATCAAACGTCTTTGTTCACAGTGAGATAGATTTTCGAGGTGAGGTGTCTGCACATAATTCATCGCACTCGTCGCTACTCTGGAACACTTTGAGAGCTCTATGAGGAGAGCAGCGTGGGAAGAAAACACCAGAAAACGCATACCCCTGCACTTCCCCCAGGCAACGGACCCTTTGGCTCTTGGAACAGTTTTCAACTTTACCCTACTCCTGACGGGAATGGATATGCGGGTTTTACCCATCCAAATACCTCCTGGCGATACTTCCTTGCACTGCAAGAGTGGTAACTTTTTTTGCTTTCAGCACACTCAAACCTTCAGTACGAATCCACACAGAAAAAATCACTGAACATATACCGCAATGAACTCACGTAAACTCGTAGAGGCCCTCAGTGAGCTCGTTGATCGACTCATCAGCTCCCTTGAAACGACGATCGACCACCTGTATACCGTAACTCTTCGCATCGGCCACATGCTCATTGATGAAACAGCCAAAACCACTCAAATTAGTCGTCACTGATGGCACTCCCATTACTGTACATTCAGCTGAAATGAAGACTTTGGAACCATTGTTTCAGCCCAGCAAGCAGCTCGTACTTCACAACTAGGGCAACTCATCAACATCAGATGTGGGCCGTTCATGGTGCATATGTGGCTCACACCAGGAGCCCTAGACCAGCACACAAGCGTGTAATTAGTTTCGTTGATTTTTGATGTGCTCCAAAAGGCACATACAGTAGCGGTCAAAAGTGTTCGCCGAAACGATTTTTAGTGCATTATTTTTCTCGCTTGAGCAACGCCCTCCAAAGATTGATATACTATGTTTTCTAGTGTTTTTATATCCTCAAGCCTTAAAGAATCAGGATATTCAAAAGAAAAATTTTTCGAGGCCACCATTGATTTTTTTCTGGCAAAAAAGAGAAGCACGGAAAACCGTTTCGGCGAACACTTTTGACCACTACTGTACGTGTGGCTGAGAATCGGTGATAATGTTGCCTACACAGCGACTCTACCACAAGAATTCCTAGACTTGTTTCACGGGTATATGGTTTCCTCAGTAATGCTCCGCCAGGATGAATAACGGTCGAGGAAGTCGAGGATTCCTCGACCATGGCTCTGCACTGTGCGAGAGTAGTGCCGAGAGTGAACGTACGCGCGGAGAGCACAGACGGCTCGCGCATGGCGAGTGTGAATGTCCGCGCGGGAGAGCGTAACTGATCAGGCGAAAATCCTCGACGTGCCGTTGAGGAATCCTCGACCGATATTCACCTGTGCTCCGCACCAATACAGCTGGCTATTGAAGGATGGCGTCCTATCACCCATGACCACAACACTCCACTTCTAGCGAATAATCGGCAGTTATGATGGAAATATCCTTACATACCTGGCGTATAACCCCATGGCTCGTAGTAACTTGGGAAGACTCCTAGATGGCATCCACGGACGAAATCCTCATAGTCCAAGCCGATCAGTGGCGAGACAGATGAGAGGAACTCCGGATGGAAAACAACCTGAACGTAGACGTGCGAGACTACTGAATATACCGAGAGATTTCGCAAAATTGAAGAAATATGAGTTGAGTTAGATGCCCATTTCACCAAATATGACCCCCTTTTTAGAAATAACAAACACCATCCTTCACGTTGAATTTGTCTAGTGGACCCTTGGCCCTGGCGTGTGCTCCCAGAAGCGATTGCATAGACAGCAGATGTCTCCGGACGTCTTTGATAGAACAAAAATCTTATAGGACTCAGTAAGAAACCCATCGGTACTTGGAATATTTTCACTGTTTTCAATGAATTTGAGATAATTTCATTGCGGTGAGGTAATTTTTAGATATTTGCCGCTGTTTCTGTTCCCTGCGGTCCGATTTATCCCTGGGAGGGTTTCAACTACGAAGATAAGCAGATCTTAGGATTACATACATCATAAAGGCTCACAGTAAATACCGTGTTCTACATGCTACATAGTCAACAATGAGACGAATCACCGGATTACCTTAAGCATAATCTATCGGGATGACTCTAGAGGCCGAGAAAAATCTACACAAACATCCTGTGCATGACGAAATCTGATCTTGAAAATGTAAAAAAAAACTATTTCGATCTAAATCAAGTTTTTGTGGCAGCAACTGTAATCCTACGAAATATCAAAAGGACAGGAAAAAATGCCGGGGGCAACTTTAGGAGCCTACGGCTTTGATAGACGCCTTTGGATGAGCCATGCTCACGTGATAGCCACAAAAGAACATAAACTCTTCATATTCCTCGACTCTTGAGCTCAAATGAGGAAAATGACTTTTAATTGGCCAGTTTCCCTCACTATGCAGCTACACAGGCAGTAGTGATGCAAGTCTGCGGCGATCCTATACTGGATCACTCCTACAAATCTTCTGAGCAGGGTGAAATTCGCACTAACAAAATGACGGCGGAAATACAATCCCCTCTCTCCTCCAGCCTTGAGGGAGATCTCTAGAGGATCTCTGTGGTCGATGGTGTTAGTGATGTCGCTGAATCTCTTTGAACTGACACATTTCAACGCCACCAACTCGAAAACTTCATCAAAACAGAGCGTGAGGGGGGGGGGGTGCATGTGACAAGTGATCCAGTGAATCTACGTTTTATGTCACCACCCATTTCCCCATCTATCCCCCCACCCGCTCTCTCCCCGTGGCCATCTTGGATCCTCAAAACTTCCAAATACGACCCCTACTCCGAACATTGCAAATACAACCCACGTCAAAAAATTCTCGAAAGTAGTTCACTGCCTCTGAAAATTGCCCCTCTCTGCTTCAAACATGTACGACACGTTTTTGCGCGCAACAAAAAAAAACCGAACCCATTGCTGCACACCCTTACGTAGTGAACTTTACTCTGTTGTCCAATATTTTCACGAATACTCCCTCTCGAATCTCGGCTACCCAAGTAAAATTAAGAATTCACTATTGTTCTATGGGATTCCCTCCACAAAAACGTGCTCACCGTGACCACCCAATTCGATGAATTTTTGACTCGTCTGAAGACAATAGCTCGCACACGCATGGGTGATCTAGACGTCTCGCTAAGCTTTTATGAAGGCAAGAAAAAGCAGGATCAACTTGAGGTAAACTGTGACGTACCGTTAAGCTATTGTTTGGCCTATGTCCAAAGATTAACGCTCAAAGAAGTTCCGGGTTGAGAAAAACGAGCTTAGACACTACAATGAGAGGTATCCGTAAACCGACATGCACATCGTATTATAACCTACAATGGCTCATTGACTAATCCGCAATTTAACACTTCCTACAAAAAACTCAAACAGTCCGGTATGACTCAGACCTGGCAGAATTCGTCGGAAATCGGAATAATTCACAAGACACAGGTTCTATTTACCCTGCCAACATGCCAGAAAAAGAGGACTTCGTCAACAAGCAGGATAAAGAGAAAAAGAAAGAGGTGAAGAAAAAGGTCCTGTCTACCCCCAAAACTTGAGAAATGATAATGATCCTACAGAATACAGAAAACCTCTCAAATGTTCCATCGCTGGAACTAAAAAGGTCCTCTCCTGGCATATTTTTTTGCTGTTGCTTCACTCTCGTCATAACTACTGCAGTAATTGTTCATCAGCTGCTCTTATTTAATGTTTGCATGGGCAACCATTGCCGAGTCCGATGGAAGCATTTTCCAGTAATGGACGAATAAGGTCCAAGCCGGATGAATTTTCTGGAGCTTATTTCTCATAAGTTTCACACTGCCTCGTTGCCAAATTTGCCAGTCACCAAAATTCAACCAGAATCTCTGAACTTGAAGTCTCAGTTCGCTTGAAAACTCCACCTTTTCCCTGTTGACAAACAATAGTGTTGATTAGCCTATTGCTAGAATTGTTAAAGCAACGCTTTTTCAATTACACTACTCAGGAATGACTGGCTAAATGACTCTAGGCGAGATGATTGACGACCTCCTTTACGTCTCATCTTTCATTCGGCGTCCGTCGACCCGTTTCAGATGAAAAACGAGGACGAAAATCAGTGCGATTTTCAAGAGCTGTGCACGACTACACCTCTACTGCACACTAGTATGTGAACCACCGCCTTTTCCTACTAATGTATGACATGACAACAGTAGGATGATGGCTACAACGAGACTCACCTTCACTCGATCATGATCATGATTGAACAGCTGTACACGTCGCAATGCTTGCAGTACTGGATCGTTCGCGCTGTCCAGCATGTTATGTGTGCAAATCGGTGGCAATGAGTCACGCTGTAATGAAGAATAACAATATCATCTAAGATCATTCAATATCATTATCAACAATATCGTCATTACCATTCGAACCCATTTCACAGCCTTTTCAGTTCCTCGGAAGCCGTATTTAACCCTCACTTTCTGACTTCTTTTACACACACCTCTCATGCAAAAACGTCGGTACAGACCACAGCGCTAACGCAGCCACAAGGTTTAGCACTACAGCTTTCAAAGCGATGCATAACGTCTGGCGTGGTAGATTTGATTGCTGGGATGTTTTTTCTTTGCTGAACAAGTTCTACGTGTTTTGCAAATATACCGAAAACACCAAAAAGTGCAGCAATCTCCACAAAATGTCGGCAGGAGTAATCAATTTGCACCTAAATCACTAGCGCTGAACAGGTCCCATTGCGACGTTCATGCGATATTCAGCCCAGATATACCGCTGTGGGTGCAAAACATGCAGCAGGATGGACTGAAGGAATTCCTAAAGCACTGGGAACTACGCAAAAGTTCAGGTTCCAGAAAGTTCTTCTAATGGTAACCAGGCATGACCCTCTGCCATGTAGCTCACCACAAGGAGGTCTAATTCGCTCTGTGGTGAAAATAAGTAGATGAGTAAAATTCACAAATATTACAACTTCGCTGTACCCCATGATTTAGCTTTTACCGTGCTGTATAGTGCAAATACAGAATCACAGTAATCCCAAGTAACACAAGCACTCCAAACAAAATAGCCAGAAGCTGGGATCCCACCCCAACGTTGGATTTCAACCCCTCATTCGCGTATGTTCTATGCCACATGTAGCTCAGGCTAATCTCACGATTCCCGAACTGCGTTCAGTAACATCTGGTAATCGACGCGTTCAAGGCGTTTATTCCCCATAACGAGGTACAGATGTGTCAGAAAGCGAAGATCAGTCGAAAAAATTCGTAATGCATGATCTTCCCCGTGCTCTGACTGATTTCAGACCAGGAGGAAACGTAGGAGTGCGAAACTAGACGGCGTTGTCTGGCATGAATTACTCCCCGAAATAAAGCTCCCCAAAACAATCAATAAGTGGTCGATACAAGACATTTTTTCAAAGGGGAAAAGAAGACTGCTCTACTCTCAGCCATCAGCAAAATCCTTCGCGGTGATGAAGAAAGCACATCGGAAATCGGAAGCTGTCAACGAGGTACCGAACGGTACAATGGGGAGACGCTCAGTTCTCCTTCTAGTCAGGTCACCAGAGCTGCGCGATCATTGAAGCTTAAGGCTATGCTTGGGTTTAGGCTAAGGCTTATGCTTACGCTTAAGCCTATGATGATTCTCACATGTTAAGCAGCAGAAGGAACTCATGAAGTAAAGGGGTCTAAGCAGCACGAAATAAAGTGGACAAGCCGCTTTTGCCTTAACATTCGTGGAACTCAGATAGCTTGAACTCAATCTATAGGTATACACACCGAGGACGACTTCACATGTACCATGTAGGTGAGACCGTCTTTCAGTCTACCGGCACAATCATCTAAGCTTTTCAAGTTACACATTTACCGTACTCCTCTTGTTCTATCCGACGCCACATATACAATTTCGAATGATCTGTGGTGTTAACCAGGTGTATGAAAAACCAACTACCTTCAGTCGTGGTTACTGCAGGGCGAGCCAATGCAGAGCAATCCTAAGAAGTAAGACGGAGGGTAGTATTGGTTAGACTCAGCTAAGGGTTTTCACAAAAACTTGAAGAGGTCGTAGTGAAAGCAGGAAGATATAGAAGTTTTCAAGAGTTTTCAGATACCCCTCCTCCACTTCCATACTTTCGACGGAATCACTTTCAGGTATAAGGAGGTATGCTGTGGAGGTGATACGGAGTTGTTAAGAAGGGAATCGTCAGTTGGACCCTAGCTGAGAAAGGGTGCTGCTGCTAAATCTCCCTGAGACATGGCTCTTCCTCCCGCCTACCTTCTCCACATTCGAAACAATATTTGTACTCCCAGCCTTCCTCCATTTACCACTAATAACATCCCATCTACACTTTATACTAGTTCCAAAAAACAATTACATTACTGGATGGATGCGCTGGGCGTGGGCGAGTTATGTCGGCGTTCACTATCAAATTTTCCAAGCCGCAACTAATCACTAATTCCCCCTGTTTCATACAAATTCACATGTCCACATCGATGCCGATGCTTTTAAGTAAATGTAAAAATGACCACGAAATTATCCGTAGATGCACGAAACATTCTCTTGCTGTCGTCGCTCAATCTCATTAGATCTCGGTAGAATATGTTGAATTATAGATGTATGAATGCCATCACATGTACAAAACGCATTAGCGCCGTGCACCAGTCCTTCTTTTGCCCCATTCATTTGCCTCAGTCAACGGATTCTAATCATCCAAAGTGACTTTCTACGCCCACTACATCTTGCTGCTTAGCAAGAATCTCCCGATGTTCATGTCTAGGCGATGACGAGGAACGTCTGGAGTTTACACGTCACGGACGTCAGCAGTCGAAACCCCGTCGGGACTGTATCCCATCCAAATTCGGTACTGGAATTCAACGAATCTGCGCTAAAGCCTGACGCCACCCTTGCGAGCTAAGCTGCCTGTTCGCAATCCGTTTACTCTTGACGAGAATGTGGCACGACAGCGGTGTGGGAGTAACACATGTCAGTGAAAGCAACACAAACCAGAGCCCGTTTGAAGGAATCACACCTTAAAAGGAACAAAGCGAAGGCAGGGCCTAATTCGGGGAACGGCAGAATACCTGATGCTGATTCCTATTGTTTAACTAAACACAGCAACAACAGCCATTCACTTCATTACTTCACTACCCACAAACACACGCACTAACACGCAAACTCTGAGGCAGAACGTGGTTGCAGGATGTGCTGCCAAGTGTGGGAACAGAACGAATAAGAAATGCGGATTATACCTTCGCCGCCAGAATACAGCGTTTTAGTTGAACTTTTTCCGCGGGCAGCAGTAAATCTTCCGGATCCGGCACTTTACCGCTGAAATAAATAATCAGAATAGCACTCCATAAATTCAGGTCCCACACAGATTACTGAAACCTGGCCAAGTCGTAATGATTAAAAGATTGCCAAGCAGTTTAGCCTACGGAATAAGGAGCCGAAATTTTTCCAAACAAGTCGTACGTGGGCGTTTTATTATAGCTCCAGCGCCTTTCCAGGGATACCCTTGTATCATTGCTCCAAGCCATAACCCGTGAGCGAAGTGCTTTTTCTTCCTACCCCTCCGCATGTCCGAAGTTACGGAACAGTAGCGTGTAGCGGGCCAGCCTTAATTAGAAAATCAACATTTCTTTTGTTACTTTTTCACCGTCCCTATCAAGACAGACAGGCCTCTAACCGGGGTGATCTTGGCCTAGTGCCGAAAAATGATCCATTATCGGGACCGAATGTCAAAATGCAGGCTGCGAAATGGATGAAGGTAAGATTATAGCACTGGTGTCAACGATTGTCTTCCATTAAATGCAATGGCGCTATATCCCCATAGCAAACAGTTGATCACGCTAGATTGAACTCGTAAAGCATCGCCAATGTACACACCCCGACATTTATACCAAAAACCAAATTTCGCATGGTTAAACCTTCCAACGTTTAGGATGAGGGCAGGTTCGAGAGTCATCTGACCTGCGAGCCAAAATTGGCTTAAAAGTGATACCCATGACTCTCTGAGGGCTGGCTAGGAGATAGCTGGCGCTGGTCCTAATTCAATCCCCGTCTCATCTATTGATAATATTTTCTACAATTTCCATCGAAATATTGCCCTCGGCCTCCTCTGTACTTATGGAGGTGGATGACCCAGAAATGGTCTATGGCCCAAGCAACTGCTGTTTTCGCTGAAAATATGCAACTCTACTTACCGGACTGACTCCTCGAACATGCGATTTGCCACATTCTCTTTGATTTTCGCTATGGTATCCTTCAGCTGCTTGCAGACGGCTTGCCCACGAAGCGAGTCCACATTGAAGGAGTTAGCCGCGGCTGGATATATGATGAAGGCTATTACCGTCACATCCTTACACCGTGGATCCTGTGACGTCTGAAAATAAGGAAGCGTTTAGAACCACTAAACAATTTTAGGAGAAAAATCTAAAAATCCTGGCTTGTCGCAAATTCTGCCCCCTCCGCCAGCCAACAATTCATGGACCCCGAAAGTGCGCATTACTGCGAATCACGGGGTTATGCCGGATATGTAGGCCACACAAATCACTACGCTCAGCTCTAAACACGGGATCGGCAGGCATTGAACGACGGCGGACATAGAGCGGGCGACAATAGCCACGAAAGCCGATACTGTGCAAATAGAGGAGACGCGTAGCCACCGGCCCTCGTCCGCCGAAAATCTCGTTATTTTTTTCTGGGCGTATTGTAATTAGTCAGCACAACGATCGGCTCTAGGGTTTCATGGATCAGAGGTGAGGAAATGGTCCCAGTCTAGACAAGACCACCCCAAAACTTCTTTGCCTATTCTTTCAAAAATGATTCAAACCAGATGAGAAGAAATTAATTTATCCAATTTCATGAGATCAAAAACACACTTCAAACACGGTGACGACTTACGTCAGACCAACTATTAAAGACGTAGTCGTCTAACTGAATCTCTAATTGAGTGAAGAAATGATTGGATGATTTGTAACTTGTGAATGACCGAAAGAAATCACCAGAGCTCTATGTACACAACGAGAAACCCAAGTCATATGTATGTGATGAGTATGACACCATGACTGCATGCACGATAGGTGCTGGTAGGAAAATCAGGAAAAAATCTAGAAAAAAAATTGAAAAAAAGTATAAAACACACAACAATACTGGCATTTGATGTACCCATCATCGACTCCAATTCCATTGATTGGAGAATTCACGTAATATGTAAGGAATATCATAAATTTAGAGAAGTTGGTCTCATATAGATATGTGACGACAACCGAATGACCACACGGGACAAATGAAAATCACGTATCACGATTGAACACAACAGAGAATGATGAACGGATGAAGGAGAACTGAAGAAGAGAAACCAACAAACGGACGCCGTGGTCATCACCAGACGACGTCGATCATGTTCATCATAACCATTCAACTGACGAACTCTCCGATGCTGCCGACGGCGTCGGTTCACTAGGTTTCTCGATCAGATGAGAATGCGGTAGATCGGAGAACGACAACGCCTTGCCGACCAACGATGGCTCCTGACGCGGAATCAGCGTTGACGGTCGTCGTTGAAGATCCAACAATGACGACGTCATCAGCGATGACGGCGGCACCAAGCGATCCAGATATGTCGAATCCAAGCATGTCGAACTTCTGGAAGCAATCGATAAGCATACAAAACATAAGATAAACATAAAATGATCACGGGGAAATGATGAATTCGACTAATACCTCGACTGAATCCGTGATCGGGTACGGAACGGCGACATCTTCAACAGAGCGTTACCAGTATCGATACTGGCAGACTTCAGTTGACTACCAACATGTTGCAGATTCTTCCACAACGGCGTCAAACCACTAGCCGAACTCGGTGCGTTCTCGATGATCGTGCTGGTCATCGGTACCGATCGTACACCGTTATTATAACGTCCAGACGAATTACGTAGGTTACGATTCAGGAACGCGTAGAATAACCAGTTAAAGGCGCTCTGAGCATACGGTAGTGAATGCATCAGATACATGATGAAGATGCCGTTCACCGGTGTCGACGTTTCATCACCTATTATTTCCTCGAATTCATCGCCGCTCATCGTCTCGTTCTCGTATGCGACGCCCACGTTCTTTTCGGCTTCTGTAAATACACACGATGACTTCACTGCCGACGACTCGTTTTTTCGTTTTTCCACACAGTTACTTTGGCGCTGGCGATAACGCGCCTCGTCATCGACCCTCTGATAAGTGTTTTATAGAACGCTAAGCTAGTCCCACCGTCTCGGCAAACATTCCCCAACGAATGAACACCAAACAGCTCGACATCAGGGAGGATAATGAGAAGCTGGAAAAAACGCCCGTCACAAATGCCTCTTCTAAACCCTTCCACTTAGCGGGAAGCGATTTTCAATTTTTAGAACCGAAGCGCTAATTTACTTTTTCCCATTGTTTCCTTCTCTCGTACAGGTCACATTAGCAGCGCGATGATGTGGGAGAAAGAATTTGCCACGTGCAAACACCGGCTATTGGGAGCTTTCATCCGCATCCGCGCATCCACATCTCAGGTTTCAAAAGCTCGTCTCAACTATTACAAGGGCCTAGCCTCGCGGATCTCTCCAAATGGGATACAATGAGCTCACTAGAAAGAAAAAACGTCAGCGCTCATGGTCTTAGGGGGGGGGGTGGAATTCAAAACAGGGCCGATGGTAGGCACACTAGAACGAAGGTGAGCGTAGGAGAGAGGAGAAACGTCAGAGAAACACAAATTGCTCACATCCTCTCCCAGAATCATTTTCCCTATACAGGGCTTAGTCCCAAGGGTTTTAATTGGCTCACCACTCCCACCTAACGACATGAGTGCGAGAACGTCGTTGACATTGGAAACAGCAAATTAACACAGCTAAATACACCACCCCCGCGGGTTTGTAAGGGCAAAAAGAAAGCAATAATTTATTTGACTTGAAAAAATGAACTATGATCATCAAAAGGCTTACCATGGGCCAACGCTTGAATCCGCATGGTCCAGTAGGGTGTCCAACAGATGAAGTAGAAGGCGACCACCATCACCGAGCACTTCACTACTCGTGAGAGGGAGATGCTCGTCTTACGGCCAACAGTCGAGTAACGAGTATGGCGGAATAGTTTCGCCAATATCACAATATACACAGAGAATATCAGCACCAATGGTACCACATAGCAAGTGAGCGTATGGACGAGATCGAACCAGAGATTCTCGTCTAACGTGCACTTTCGGTACACCATACCGTTGAAATCTTCCATGTCAGCAATTTTCGCATGTGCTGTGATCGGAGTGATGAACAGCAATGAGGCCATGATACACACAGAAACAACGAATATGGCGAATTTCGTCTGTCGCATCCAGATTAAGGCCGGCTTACAGACGGCTATGTAACGGTCGATCGACAAAGCCGTCAGGATCATCGGCGACAGCGTCTTGTTGGTGCCTTCACTGAACCACAACAGTTTGCATAGCGCGATTCCGAAAATGAACTCGTTCTCCTGTAGATCTGCTACCAGCATCGGCACAGGAATCAGGGACACCAGATCTACTACGGACAGAAGTAGGAGATAGATGTAGGCTGATGACTGGGTGTTCGGTTTGACAACACGTCCTCGTTGAGTTGATGAACTGCAACAACCGAGCAGTTGTGATGAGACAGTTATCAGTACCCAGATATTGCCCAGTAGACCAGTGACAGCTAGTGTCGAATAGAGAACAATCAGTACGATGATGTTCAGACCGACGTCCATGGCGTGCTGGCATCGCACTGTCAAGGAGGGCGTGGCCTAAGCTGAGCGCGCGCCCGGAAGGGTCACTTCGGGCGAATTGACACTACGTCGACGGCGACGGCGGCGGCAGCGGAGGTGGTAGCGAGGACGATATTGGAGGCAAAAGCGTCGCCGGCTACGGGATTTGCTCAGGTAGCGCTGAAAAACACACACCTCAAAATATTTCCAGTAAAGGTTTCAGAGATGATGCTAAGCTGTGGCAAGAAAGAAACTGTGGCAATCGGTATCAACAAACAGAAATGCAACGTCAGCCATACATGTTATAACAGCTCGATAAGTGTTCTGACATTACATCTCACACAACAATCACGAATGATTCAAAATCTGTGCGGGTCATAGCAAATTTACTGAAGTAAACACACAAGGAACACCTACAGCAGTCACTAGGTGACACAGAAAAAAGTTCAAATTCAACCCCTAGTTGTAGATTTCAACTGGGACAAGCCATTTGGCTTTGGCTATTCAGTGATTAAAACTCAAAGAGTAGTGGCCGAGTGCGGCGCCATTGTTCCAAACTGCAAGAACCCCTGGAGAGTTCAAAAAGCCCAAAAATCCTAGCGAATCTGCGATTACTACCCCATACTAAAGTTAGTCGTACATGTGAAACACTGCCAGCAGTACACCTATGAATATTCTGAAATCGCATACACCTCCGTAAATGATTGACGACGGGTTGAAACGGGCGGCTATCGGCGTCAAAATAAAATTAGTGCGAGCGCTTTCAAAAAATCACTTCCGCAACTATGCGTCTAACGAAATTCCACTTTGCTGAAGTGTACGAGGCTTAATAGCAGCACTAGAGCAAAAAGAAGCTCCAACTAATGTGTGATTTCTAGAACTTCGGAATCGGTCGCAGAACATTCATCATCGGCGAATAACTGGAGTAGAAAAATAGACTATAACGAGCTTTTGAGATCAAAGACCCATTTTTTCCTGAGATTGGTATCTAGGGTCCCATGCCTCGCAGATCGCTGGATTCGGATCCCATCGTATTTGCTGTTCTCTGGGCCAAAACTAAGCACGAGATGCACTGTGGGGCTCAAAGATGTGCCACGTGCTACTATGGCATAGTTACCACATCGTCTTCTTATCTCTAGTCTAACGGCGTTCCAAATCCTTCTTATCGGTTCCTAATCGTTCTAATCCCTGCTTTTTTATGATCCGTTTTCTCCCTACAAGGAACCATCCCATAAAATCATCCCTTTACTCCTTTTTCTAAATTTTCGTTGTAACTCCATTTTCTTCTTAAGGCACAAGTTTCTCAAGCAGGTCTAAAGGCAGATGGTAGCACAACTTAGACGTCGCTGGAAATGAGAGTAGAGATGGGAGGGCAGGAGGGGAGAGTGAAGATGGAAAGGGGTGCAGCGGCGGAAATCCTAAACGAGAGTACGGCCTGGAACTCCCAAAATAAACTTCAAATCCGTTAACTTCTGCGCTCTAGGAGATTCAACAACAGATCAAGTCAAGGCTCTGTCTCTCTACGCTCTTAGACCACTGATGGCGGTCGTCGCCACTATGTGGGCTCCCCAGAGTTGGTATGAGTACACCCATCGTCGCGAAAATACTACATCCCGCTCTTACAATTGCCTAGCTTACGTTTACAGTAGACAGATTTTCTCTTCTTCAACATCCAATTTATTGAGCTACCTGCCTTTAAATCGGCCCGTGTTACGCACATAGGTGAGACAATCTTACGACTTCCCAAGCAACTTCCACCTCTTATCTTATCATTCCACGTGTTCATGTTTGATGATGTGTCAAAATGCAACCTTCCGGTACAAGTCCCAAACAAGACTAGTCGCCTGACCTCGTTCCGTCGTTATCTTTAAAAATTAACAGCTTTCCAAGACAGGGAGCCAGCCATTGCTTCTTTACGACAGGTTTCCGCCGTCTGCGCCACAAAAATGTGATTAGTGTCAAGCATAGTGAAGAAACCTTAGTTACTAACTCGGAAAAAACCACTGTACTGAAATGACAAATCCTGAAAATAGTGCTGGTCACTACTCCCACGATTATATACCACTACAGTTCTTTACAAGTAATCCAGTGTGACAGGAAAGTTACCCGTGCAGGGAAGTGCCCTACATTAGTTCACATAGGTATGAATAACTGAAAAGGTAAAGAGCTTAAACTCATGCGCATAATGCCAAAGTGCATCCACGAAGGGAAAAACACTGACGCTTGAAACTGCCAACTGAAAAATGTGGTAAAACCTGAATGCCTTTAGTTCAACCTATTTAAATGCATCATCGTTTGCATGAACGAGGTCGACTGCTGGGGAAGACCACAGGACAAATCTCCGTCGTTAAGCGCTATAAGCATACCCGCCTATTCACTGGCCTTTTTTACCCTACAGAAGCAAAATTACAATTTAATCCTCATGGAATCGAGAAACAGCACTCGACAATATCCCGAGAATCAATTAGACTACATCACAGAGAAGAAGAAGAAGAAGAGAAAGCAAATGCAGACGTCCTACAAATGGAAAGGTTTAAATCTTGAAGGGAGAGAAGCAGAGTCACCACCGCACTTCGCGTCTCTTGATTTCTAATTGATAACGAATGGTATCATGACGAGCAACCTCATATCTTAGATTCCGTCCTAGGAAAAATTACAACGTTAGCCTCAGACATACCATCCTTTCTCCAGAAGTGCCTGAGCAAAGAGGACGAAGTGGTTTTAGTTAAGGCATTCCGGTCCGCGCTACCACTCACCACGTCAACATTGACTTACTGAGTTTTCAAACACATGGTATTTCTGGCAAAGCCATCGCTTCACATGTTACCTATTTACTGAAGTTTGAAGGCCAAAATTTGGGTTACAGATAGAAAGAGAAAAAAGGTACTTGGCAGCAAGGGCACTCGATGGCCCAGAGTACAGAGAAGCAGAGATTGAACAAGAGACACCTAGGTGAACTAAAACACACAGTTCGGTTGACGCTTACTTCAGTACGTCAGAGCCGTATCCAACATTTTTGTTAATATTTACCATGGGTGGAGCCCCGTAGGTACGAAGAGGGACGTGTCGCGATCTTGTAACGTCACATGCGCCGAATTTTTTCTACCAAACGGGTACTCCTCCTCCCTCCCCCCCCCACCCTCCCAAACGCCACAACCCACTCCTCTACTGATTGACGAAAAGGTGAACCTTTCGTTCTGCGGGTAAAATTCAGAGTAAGCAAAGCCCCGGCGACACAAGGCTTTTCGTACCTGATGTCATGCTCCCATTTACCTTGCCACGGATAACTCTTCTTCACCCTTTTGAAAATACCCATGTTTCCCTGAGTTTGCGGTGGGATTGAGAACTCAACAGTTCCAACGATCCCACGAAAACATGTCTCCGTGAACGTCGTGCAGAGAATCGGAAAAGGAAGAATCCAATCTCCGGCTCTGCTATATACGAATGGTCAAGAATCCCCTTTTGGCATTATCCATCTGATCCGCCAAGTCAACAGACATATGATATATATTGGCCTATGGCGCTGTGCTGTCTCACTGTCTTCAGACCACTGAAAACAAAACCCTGATGTGCACCATGAGCAGATGAGACCAATTTACGCGCAACTAAACTGTACGACATGTGTGTAGACTCTAGTCCAAACGCAATACACACAGCACGTGAAAATCACGCATAATTACGTCTACACACTTGTTCAGACGTCTTTTTATGAGGCGATAAAAAAGGAGATGCTCAGCAGTAGTTGATCGCAGCAGACAAGGAATCGGAATGGTCTCGCAGTATCGATTGATACTCCGACCAATCGCAGACAATTACAAACCATAAGTGACTAATCACACAACGTGTTCTCCCTCCACCTCGAATATGTATGTGCGTGTCAACAGAACACCCACAATTTCCTGGAACACTCTTCTGAGCGCATGGTCGCTAAGCACTCGAAATCGTTGGGACCCGAGCAATACCATAAGTACTTTGTTTTGAATATCAATGAATACCGAATGAGAAAGTCCCTATGGCGAGAGCATTTTCAATTCGCTACTGTTTATAATATTTCGTGTTAAGGCTCAATGAACTCTGGGTCATTTCGAGAAAGCAGAATTCACAGAACGATTAAAAACTTTACGTTAATTACTAGCTTACTTATAAGTTTGCTGATGGAGCTTCATTGACATCAACTTCCCAAACAACGTTTGTTTACCCGACAATTTCACTAACGATGCAAAAAACGTAACAAGCGAGAAAAAGCGCTGTGAACTACGCTGTCTCTCCCCCCCCCCCGCCCCTCCCCCAAGGGAGTGATTTTCCCCATCGCTTGCACCCGCACAATGAGGGCTATTTGAATACACATCACACACACGTGTCAATTGCAGTACACGCTCCAACTACAAATGAGTACTCATTAGTATAGCAGAAATGGAAGTGATAAGGGATCAGGTGCAATTGCGAGGAAAGCGATGAGATGAAGAGACTGACCACAGCTAAATCGCGCTCTCACCTCTCACGCATGAGAACAAACGGGAGCAGGAGATGAGAATAGCCAGATTACAACCACAACAACGGCCATCATCACAATCACTGCGGCCACTAGCACTAGCATATGGAAACCAGCATAATCAGGGATCAGGAAAACAATCAACAGCCAAAACGACAGCACTGAATCATCACATATTGGCTGCGATGTCTCTGGGGTGATCTCTCGCTTCAGAGGGTCCAATATGGCCACTGAAGGGGGAACACCCCCTCTCGTGTTCCTCGTCCACTCCATTGGACCGCCCACTCTTTAATAGACCGCCTCTTCTATATATGTACACACACAGACACATATATACACATAAACAGAGCTCAAAGCGCAACAAGCAACTGCTTGGCAGGAACTCGGCCTTCACTCATGAGTGGCAGTGAGCAGAAGGAAGAAAGTAAGAGAAGGTGAACGATTTTGCTTGCAAGCCCTCATTTCACACGCTAATTCCTGAGATAGCGGTGATAAAAAAAACCACAAGCACTACCGATATAAATATTTGCAAATTATGCAAAATTGAAGCAAAAATCATAATGAATATCGTCATCTAAGACGAAAATAGAAGCACGAACAAACACAATAAGAGACAAATCGGCAACGAACGAACGAACAGCATTAAAAATACCAAACCGGAAATGTGAGGAGTGCAACTGGAAGCTGGATCAGCTGAACCAGCTCAAAGCTGCGGACGACGATGATGACGACGTCAATGAACGTTCCGCGCACACGCACATAAGCAAACAATGTAGCTTAGAACTGTGTTTAAACTTCTCATTATGCATCGCTACCACCCGTTCTGTTTAAGCATCTGATTCATCCAGGACATATTTTACAGTACCCCACAAGGACCAGATGATGAAACAATAGACCTAAATACGCTACAGCAAAAATGTGGTTACTATAGTGAATTTTTAGGAGGGTACTGGCCTTATAGTATACAATAATAGATGGTGAGGTCCGGCTTAGTTTTGAGCGCGCGAGCGCTTGATATCTTTGGCCTCCCTCCAGGCCCATAAGCTACTGCGTTCCATTACTATGGAAGTGTTTGCATGGATTCCAGTACTGTATTCATCAACGCACAGCATACTCCACCGTTTGTTAGCCGTTTACCCACACTCCTTGCGATCATCAAGTCCTTACATATTGTTATACTCTTCTCTACGAGCGCTATTTCCAGACGCCTACGAAATCAAACCTCAATGAATCCCCTCCGCTTTTGCGGAATGAATGGGTCACTCTTATGCCCTCTTAAAGGCACATTGAGCATTAGTAAAAATGAGATGAATATAGGGTCAAATATGAATTGGTGGGTGCTAGTTGACATACCAAAAGGAGCGCTCTGAATAAAGTCCCTCCTTCTCGATAGGCAAAAAGTTTGTGATGCAAACAGTTCAAGACATTCAGTCCATTCTCCAGCGATCGAGAACGACAGACGGACGATAGAGCACAGTGGGGAAGGAAACGCAGACATCACAACGCGGACATCTGCACTTGTTTAAGTTATCCGTGATTGCAAGTCCTAAACCCCTAGCGTTCTCTCAAGCGTTTTAAGTCGCGAGAGTGACTCTGTCCCCGTATTTGGAAACCTAGGGATCAGTCCAAACCTAGGGATCGGTCCAATAGGCAGATCGAGAAACGCGCCTGACACCATGCTGAAAACTGATGCCCAGGAGAAATGGTCAGCTAGGTTAGGATCAGGGTCGGTCCTACGTTGCTACAAGTAGCAACGGGGGGTCGTATTTTGATGAGTTTTTAGAGGGGGGGTCGTATATTTTGATGAGTTTGTAGAGGGGGGTCGTACTTGCTTCGATTGTAAGAAGTTGCATGAGATGAGGGAGGAGTGGCGCGGGAGAAAATTTGCCGTTTCAGCGCGCGTATATACCCCCTAGAAAATGAAGCGTGGGATTAAAGGTAGGAGGGGGTAAAAATTGGTGAAAAATTTAGGTACCCTAAAATCCCATAGATAAGAGCGGTTTAATTTACCGGTGAAAAATGAATTGGAATGAAATTGAAATTGAATGCAGTCACCCCTCTAACTTGATGGATGGATAAATAAAAATCGGAGAAGAAGTTTAGAAGAAGCTCCGTCCCTCAACTCTAAACCCCGCCCACTTAATAAACAATTCATATAGAAAAATAGCGATTTTAACGGAATTTCTGCCGGAATCTCTCTAGAAATGCCGGAATTTGATCTCTGGATAGAACTTGAAGAGCCCATTCGATCAGTAAAATTCCATAGATAAGAGCGGTTTAATTTACCGGTAAAAAATGATTTTGAAAAAATATTTTTATTTTTATTTTATTTTTTGAAAAAATATCTATGGACCGCTCTTATCTATGGGATTTTAGGGTAATTTTTTACGGTTTCAGAGTGACTATATACCCCCCCCGCTCGACGGCATTTTTGGAGGAAAAAGTGGGCGGAGTTTGGTGGGTTGAGTGATACCAGAATGAAATACTATAGCGAGGAATATGGTGGTCGAGGGTCGAGAAGGGGGTCGTACCAAATCCACCTTGGGGAGGGGGGTCGTAAAAATTTTTTCGAAAAGTAGCAACGATAGGACCGACACTGGTTAGGATACGTGGAGGCGATTAAGAGAATAGCTTCAAAACTACAGAGGGCAGGACGCAGAAGCTTACTGTTTAGTCACAGTTATTTGTTTCAGAAGATATTAATTCACTGGGGACATTTGTTACCTAATTACTACCTTATACTTGCTGTCGCTGGATCTGAAGTGTATCCCCACGCTCATCAAAAATTCCCCAACGATTCCCTCAAACATGGTCCTCACGATTTAATCCCTTACGCAACACTATGGAAATCGGCGAAAAAAACATAACAGCACGTGTCTGCTATCACACAGACATGTGGGGCTTTAACTAACTGAATCGCTTTCATAACTAGTTAGATTCGCCCGCTGTGATGCATGGAATCCCTCCGCACGCATGAGTACTTCTACGGTCTTCAGGGAAATTTCATTTCCTCATTGTCAAATCGTAGTCACTATATTGATTACCAGTTAATTAATCGCCCACCCATATGATGACGATAATTGAGCACTTTATGGCTAATCAGATGCTTATGGTCACCAGAGACACTAGAAACCCTCTCGCGCTTCTCGCTCTAGCAAATAAGCAAGACTTGAGCCGGATAATCGTGCTGAGGTCACAGTTTTGCTGAAAACACCTCTCCATCACTCTTTCCATAAGGCTTGAGACACTTTTAGGGACAATTATTGTATGGAATTTGGAAGTACCTGCAACTTGTAATTCAGACGAGCGAGTGCCTCAATAAAGAAATCGCCTCCTTTATTTGTGAACTCATAACGCCCTGCTGTGAAGAAATACAACGTCTTATCCAGATCGAAGTTTAGATTCCTGCAACGAATCTTGGTTACTGCACATTCATACTGACACCATAATCAGCCACAATAGAGAAACTGACGGCCAACACCACACCCTTCCTTCAACGCAGACCACAAAAGTGCGTCAGAACCAGTGCAATTGCCCCATAGGGCTACCCTCAGTCTCGTCCTATATATCTTCTGAGATTTCCTTCAGTAGCTCACAGCACCCCACCCCCTACCCAATTCTTGGCGCAGCACCTTCGAGGATATTCTCGGCAAAGCTCTTTCACAATTTATTAGAGTAATCTATTTTGCAATCTTTCCAGTGAAACGCTGCCGCCTGAGAGCGCAATTTTAAAATGAAAGGCGCATTATGATTTCTTATCACGCATGACAACATGTAAATACGCTCGTAATAAAAAAAAACCAACCCCGTCAAGAAGTAACGAGTCAAATGACTCACAACTGTCTATGTGAAAAGCAATTAACTATCGAAATAAAATAATGTTCCTTATAGTTAGGAGGGTGTGGTTCACTACGGACAGAAAGCGACTTTTTCGCGTTTCGCAGCGCGAAACATTTTTCGCTGCGGGAACCTCAGGTCCACTCGTGATCAGCGGTGGACCTGAGGTTCCCGCAGCGAAAAATGTTTCGCGTGCGGGAAGCCACACCCTAGTTCGGGCAAATCGTAGCTCTCCTAGACTAGCAGTTACCCCACCTCTTCCCTCCCCTATGCTTAAAGCACCAGCTATTCGTTGAAACAACCAGCAGGACAAAAAAAACTACGGAGCAAGTGCAAAATGAACTGGTTCTCTGGCCATTGCCACTAAAAGTGCACTCGAAGAGAAGTAGTGAACACCAGAGACCACAGGATATTTAATCGGATTGCCCTCCCCCTTTCGGTATATTGTGGATAACATCGCCGCGTGTTCATCACGCGATTGAGATGATTGCGCTTTAACACATTGGTGGGAGCGTGGTCCGATATCGGATCACACTTTGCAGGCCGCGTGGAGCGACATTATCTCGGATCATACTTCTACAGGGTGTCCCATAAATATTGCACCACTTTTCTTTACTTGTAACTTCTTTCAAAATGGATGTATCTTCAAGAGGTTTTACAAAAATTTTAGCAATACATTTACATATTGAAAGGAATGACATTCATTGGATATGCTCCCCTGTTGTTGTGAGTATGGCTCCCAATTGCTTCGAACGCAACTCTACTGTGGCCCGCATGGCATCCTGGGGTGTTCTCTTCGAAACTTTGCAGAGAAAAGGCTCCGGCTCATCCATGTGGATGCAATGTTTAGTGCAGGCTCTGCCCTCTAACATAGCCCACATAGGATGGTCCAGCACGCTGAAATCAAGGGATAGGAGAGCCATTCGTTCGAGGATGTGAAATCGAAAGAGTGCCTTAACAGCGCTCCTGAACAATTTTTGCCTCCTATGCAGAAGCTGGGTCCTATTGAAAATCATCACCCCTCCTCAAAGTGGCTAGATACCTCAGTAACAGATGGTGCACCGATGATGCCCTCCACCCCCTCCTCAGCTCTGTCTGATCAGTTTTGATATTACTTTGTAAACAGCAGTGGATGGCGACGTCGACCGGTAGTTGATACCTCTGTCCAGACCATGATAAGGTTCGGCTGCTGCTTGTGACAAATATTCCTTTCACTCTCACTGACTTCCTCAAGACCTCACGCGGGCGTCCTCGGAGTTTGAAGATTATAGCTCCGCTCCATGTGAGGAATCTTCGCGTGCAATTGAAACGCTGCCCGCGTAATCAGCCATTGAATACTCGGCACTTCGACAAGCGCGCACGCAGGACGTGTCCAAAGCTCTAACATCCTCTATACATTAGAATTCCTTCGTGAGAGCAGGTCAGGTTTTACGGTCGATTTTCCAGACGAGACCGGATATCCACAGTGTCACTCTTCAACAGAACGCCTGTATGAGAATATCGGGGGCAGAGTCTGGCGCTTTCTGTTAGTGCGATCTCCTAAACTGCGAGAGAATCAGTACTAAGGTGAGTCTCGTAGAGTTATTCCTGCACGATCTCTAATGTTGCGCAAGGTCACTATCTTCACGTATACTCTCCTGGCCTTCGTCTGTCTCCCACAAGACGGAGAGACCACAGATCCAAGGACGTAGAAGTTTGTGGGGCGGCCCGGATTATCAACGTGAGAGAGTTAAGCTACCGCAGTCTCTTCTTTAGTACTTTCTCTCTTATGTAGCGCTTTTCCCGACGCTGGGCGCATATATGTAGAGGTTCTCGCAAAACAGACCGGCTTTACAAGAGCCAGCAAGAGCTGTATCCTGTTGTGAAGATATTGTCACATATTCCGAAGAGCGCAAACACTCGAAATTTGGCGTCGTGTGTCAGGGAAAGCTGAGGGCTTGCGGCTTATTGACAGCAGAACGTCGGAAAGTATACAGCGCTGACATGACAGTTAGGTGCGAATGCGATACAGCCTTTTGAAGTTGTACTCTGTCGAGTCTGACACCGTGCTGATGGCATCAAGGACTATGCATCCTAACACTCTAGATGTTGCTCTCTCAATTTATTGAGCGCTCGAGTTTGACAACTCGTCGTAATCGACAAGGCGGAGTAGAGGAATAGCAGATAGAAATTTAGGCTGAACTAATCGGAAAGCAAGATCAGCAACACACCAATCAGCGAGAGAGAACATAACCGAAAAGAGTTTAATATAGTATTTAGTGTGCGTAGGCAGATTATCTTAGGTTGGGACAATGTGACTCACTGTGCAATGATAGTTTATTTTTCCTGCCTCCGACGCAGAAGATGTGTCGGTGGCAGGAAACAAGTATGCTGTTAGCATTCTGTGTCCGTTGACACAACTTCTAATTATGTATGCAATATGTAACATTAATTACAGCATTCGCGTAAAGGATGTTTTCAGCTGATCTTAGATAAGTAGCGAGCGACTACCTTATTAAATTCGAGATCCCTTCGTGTTCAGGGTGATGGCAACTAGATGGCAATCCACAGATAGGCGAGATCGTGCGAACAACTCGGACAGCGATATCGTGTGAAGCTTTCAGCATCTCATTTCCGTCTGTCAGCCGTTACTTGTATAATAACGGCATTTGAAAAAAAGCATATTGGAGCGCGTCGAAAATATTGTAAATTAAGACATAACAAAGCATCATATTGCCCTCTGGCCTATTGGCGATTTAAGAGACTTCAAACTGTAACAATAGAGGACAAAGACCCCTAAAGCACTTCGAAAACCTCGAAAATTTGGATTTTTGAGCTCTTTGAACTACATTTTGAAGCCACATAGTATGGTTGCACATATGAAGGCAAAACCATGGTTTCAGGCCTTTTTTCGCTAGCACTAGCAAATTTGGAGACATAGAAGCTCAAGAGAATGAGTCACCACCACACCTTTTTCCGAAGGAAATCCGTTATCAAATTGCACTGCAAAACGGTTCGTCCGGAGACTAAGCTGAGGGTACCCGACAGTTAGACAGTCGCGTGCAAGAAGGCAGAGACGCAGACGGGTCAGCGGACGAGCTGCAGCTCGTACTGTGGATGATGGACGTGCTATAGCACATCTTCCTTCACTTGAGACGAGATAACTACGGTAGGCGCTGCATCTCTTCCGATGACCCGTCTGTGCCTATGCCTTCTCGAAGAGCTCCCTGTCAGGTAACAAAAAAAGCCAAAAAAAGCTGAACCTAGCGATAATCCTTCGAGGAACACTTAAAAAAAACCTTAAAGTAATAGCGCAAAATTAGGTAGATTTTCTGCGGAAACATCCATTTTCTAATGTTTTTGAGCAATTACCTCGGCAGTTAGTGCAGAATAAATTATAACTGAGTACTTGTTTTGAATGATATCATTTTTTCCCACTCTTCCAACAACAACAGAAATCGAGGGCCACAATGAAGAACCTGCACGCCTTCGTGCATCATTTCCTTCAAGAACCCATTTTTGACGCATAATGGAACGTAATCCTAATCTTATGCATTGAAGACAGACATATGGCAATCACTTTGAGTAAGAGTCGTACGGATGTGAACGTTTCTTCATTACGATTCCATCAGTGTTCGTTTTATGACCATATCAGGGAAGGGGGGAATTGGGGATTATTGTGAAACTTCTAAACAACCAATGATTTACCATAGAATAAGAATCTTTCGCGCAAGCCGTTTCGAGCCATTGGAAGTGATCTTAAAAAATCGTTCTCCTGGGTAACCCCACTACCCAACCCTCGATTCCAAAGCCCTAACGAATATCAGCTGACCTGCACGGTGAAATGGATTTTGGAGGGACTCCATATTATCTTTTACTTCTAGGGAGCGCTTCTCCGACATCTCTATGACAAGGATAAGATAATGCCTAAGTGACTTATTTAAAGTGCATGGATAAGGACTAATGAGTGTCCTACATTGCTGCAACCTGTCCCATCCGATCTACCTTACCTGGTCATCTACCCTGGAAACGCTCCACCCCCAGGCATTGAAAGAAGTCCATCTCTGTTGCCCATATTTTTCGATGCCTACAGTAATAACTCTTCAAACCACTAAAAGGAGACATGCCGAAAAAAATTTCGTATGTTCTTTAAGCTCGCCCTTCATTACCCCAAAACCAAAAAGGAAGTATTTCGACAATTCAGCAAGTTGAGCAGGACTGAAAACAAGCAAGGGTGCCCTAACGAGCCCACTTTTTTGAAATGTTATAAATTTATTTACCACTAACGCTTAACGCTTACATTTCTATAATCATCAACAATTAGCGGCTATCCGGAAAATACAGAAGCAGCCGCTTCTGATGTTAAAATTTGAACCAAGTTACCACTGTAGAGGTGCCATGGTGACAACTACTGCATCATAAGATGACATCTTAGACAATACAGTAACTCACCCGTAAAAGTGACCTCGAATAAAGTCGTGGATTTTCTCCTTTGCCAATGCATGAAGATTTTGGAACTCATGCAACGCCGAGAATTTCACCACATTGAGCCCATTCGGCGTCAGAATATCCGGCTTGCGACCAAGGAGATGTTCCGCTTCGAGACCAGTGATTTCACTGAACAAATCTTTTACTATACTCTAGAATCATCGAATAAGTCTGTCACTTAGTAGTAGAGAGAAAGTTAACTTGTCTGCACCACTTAGCGGAAGAGTTACCAAGGTAAACAATCCTAGACGTGCACCACACTACAGGCATATGACACGAATGATAGGGTCGCCGTATGAAAACTGAGGGTCTAAATTGTTCAGTGATGAAACGAAAAAGAGATGCGACCTGGAATCCATGAAAAAAAGACAGCTGATTTCTACGCTGGATAAAAAACACGATTTTATAAAAGATGACGCCATCGTTGCTGTCTTACGCTCTTTCGCCGCAGACAGTAACCCCTCAACGCCAAATAATCATAGCCCGAGTCCATCTTCATCTTCACCTGGATGCCGAAGCAGCCGAAGGCAGCCGACATCATGGGAAAGGTTTCAGCAGACTGCAGTGGATATACTCTTTCAGGAGAAGCGTAATGTCTCGTTTTTTTCGTCATGTCTCTTTTTTTAGGGGGCAGCCTTCCTGTATAGAGACTCATTAGCCCTTCTTTAACGTACAGCTTATCGTTCGTAATGATTGCTTTCGGGTAAGATTGGTAGTGAACGCATTGAGTTGAAAGATGAAAGATTTCCAAGATTGAACAAGCAGTACACGGAAATTTGTTCGCCTTCGCAGAAGCTTCGCATAAATCCGCGATTCGACTATTTTGGTGCTTTTGAACAAAGCCAATGAGTGGCACATTTCAGGGAATCCAATGAAACGACAGCTTTTTCTTCCTCAATGAAGTGAGTATGCGCCTTTAAAGCATTTGTAGTATCTTTTTTGTTTGCTACAAATCCTTTCAAACAGTTCCAAGAAGACCATTAATGGCATGTGCACATTTGCAAACATATACGAGTCTAATGACAGTGAAATAATTCCACATTAAACCAGAAATAAGAAAGACAACAATAAAAGCATCAATGAGCCCTGAGCCGAAAGAAGGGCCTTGAATCTTCTAAAAAATGAACGGGGCGAATTTCACATCTAAAACTCATAACGCAATCGCTCACTACATCTATGTATTCATATTCAGCACCACTCATTTTGAGGAGTTATCAAAGCTGGCAATGAATTCTCTACAGGCCCCGAACCGTCTTTCATTTTCATTTTTTTTGCGACGAAGAACAGTTCCAGACCTTTCTAGACACGTACTCCTCATCATATTCATTGTAACTAGACAGATCCCGTTTGTTCAGATTAGCAAAAAAAAAGATAAATGAAAAATATTTCGGATAAAAACCTTCCGACTGACTTCGAAACTTTTTGCAAATTGATCTGTCTCTAGTCTTTGCAAACATTACCTAACAACTATATGAGGTTAGGGCAGTTACGCTTCAACACAGTCATCAAAATCGTTGAATTTGAAGAAAAAGAAAGCCTCAAGTAAATAGAGCGGAAGTAATTACCGGGTCTGGAACTGTTTTTTGCTGCACAAACACTAGGCGATGTTTGAACATCACCAAAACCGATTAATTTACTCTATATTGTGTCCGTTCAAAGACCATATCGGTCTCTGGAACATATACTATTTAGAATTACCATGAATGCAGGGTAGAGTAATGAATGACAAGCATTCTAGTGGATATTTTTCAGCAAGTCGTGTCTTTTTTTGGTATATTAGTTCGCCGTGTTTATGCGTCGACATAATTTAGCAGGCATTAGTTTGTGAACGCGTACCATGCGTACGGATTATGCAGATGTACAATACCCGTCTTAATTGTTCGACAAAAAGCGAAGAAAATGCGGATCCGCGTTTTTTTCGTTTTTTCGCCGTAACTGACTTAGTTTTGAAAATTTCTATACAGAAATTACACCGTTGAATTCAGCTCGTCGAGCTCTACAAGACTCTTGTTTGAAAAACTGAAAGATATTGTTTTCGATGTTCATTTCTCTTTGAAGTACCTGAAGGCGCCTATCGTTAGTCGAGCGACGATCGCTATAATTATAACCAGAGGCTAATCGCACCCAATCCATTTCAGTGAAATCATTCAGCAGTAGATTGAGCAGCTATCTTTCTCTAGAATTATATGAAAAGCACTTCTTTGACCTCATCAGGTGATGCTGGTCATTTTCGTACCCATTTTTCACAAAATACCTATTTTTTCCAAGCCTCATTTTAAGGCGATTAGGAACATTTGAATTGAAATTTGGCAGTTATGGGTTAATAGTCAGCCCCAGTGGAAGAAACGGTTGTTATACAGGGCCATTTCTTCCCTAATGTGAGCAAAAAACAAGTGATATGCCAAAAGTAGATGGAATACAGCCGTTCAAAAGCTACAATACGGCACAATAACTGGAGAAGAACAAGATTTTTAGCATTTTCATGTGCCTTTTGCAGCCGAACTAAAGAAGCTGATTCCTCGTTGAAAGGACTGCGTGCAGAATTGACTACGTAGTTTCGTAATTTGCAGGAAAATCGTGATTCAGCAAGGTTCTACATTGGTAGCTGCTGCCGGCTTTGGCTTGGAGCGCTCCAGAACAAGACCCGCCTTTATCATGTGATTAAAACTTCTGGAAATTCATGCCATTCGAAACCTTGTCAAAAATGCAGTGCAACCGTGTAAGTATCCCTTCACGATACCTCTTATCTATTTTCAAACTTTTCCTCCTTGAATTGCCCTGTCCATGATCGCTCGACCTCCCAATTAGTCATGTCGCCGAGGTGACCAGGGCAGTTTATTGATCAGACTTGTATGGTCCAACATCTTCACTTTTAGTTGATGACCCTCTAATTGTGAGATAGCACAAGAGTTTCCTTCTCAGAAATTGAACACCTTCCAGATAAGCTTCAATTTTTTGTAAAATCTCTTCAAACTTCAAACTAATTTTCAAACTATTGTCTTTTGAACTCATATTTTGTACGGTGGTTCATGGATTCAAATGCTTTATAAACTGCTACTCATCGGGTGTCTTCGCCTGTTCTTGCATTAACGAATTGCAAAGAATATCCCGAGGTAACAGGTGCACAATTGATTCATATCGGTGGGAGGGACGTGGTGGATTGGAAAGCCTGAAGAAGAATAAAATGAAAGAATGTGTAAGTTATGTAATATGTAGCGTCTTGTACAGATATCAGAACATATACCCAGAAAATTCTTCTGTATTGCTCACAATTAGTGGAACTCGACGAAAACTCCTTGCCTACTGATTTCTGTTAGATGTTATTCCCTGTTACTCGGGATATTCTTTGCACTTCGGTAATGCAAGATCAGGCGAAGACATCTCGATGAGTAGAAGTTTATAAAACCAGATTAGTCCCCCGTCAACCGCCGGGACCTTCCTTTCCTGCGCAAGCTTTCTATCCTCCGCTATGGTCCCTTCCTCCTGTGACACCAACACCTCGTGGAAGTGACGCGTATGCAACACAATGGTGTTTCAAACAGTAGAAGGGACACAATCATGATATGACGGTAGATTTTTCGCTTCCCTTCCTCATCCTCCCTTCCTCTCTCCACTGCCCTCCAGCTGCCACTGCAGCACCATGTGGAATGAACGGAAGTGTGCTAAGCAGGTGTTTATATAGCCCTAAGAGTGTTATCACAACTATCCTGCTACAAAACATTGATATCTCAAATCCTGTAAGCTACCCGATTTGTTAGCGGTTTGTTTATCCCATGAGCTTCCTTCTCACTCACTTCATTTTGCGGACGGACACACATACATACACACACACACACACACACACACACATACAGATACACAAACCGACACACAAAGTTAGCGCTTTATAAAATAGAAGGATATTTTGAATCCATGAACCACCGTACAAAATATGAGTTCAAAAGACAATCAGTTTGAAAATTAGTTTGAAGTTTGAAGAGATTTTACAAAAATTGTAGCTTATCTGGAAGGTGTTCAATTTCTGAGAAGGAAACTCTTGTGCTATCTCACAATTAGAGGGTCATCAACTAAAAGTGAAGATGTTGGACCATACAAGTCTGATCAATAAACTGCCCTGGTCACCTCGGCGACATGACTAATTGGGAGGTCGAGCGATCATGGACAGGGCAATTCAAGGAGGAAAAGTTTGAAAATAGATAAGAGGTATCGTGGAGGGATACTTACACGGTTGCACTGCATTTTTGACAAGGTTTCGAATGGCATGAATTTCCAGAAGTTTTAATCACATGATAAAGGCGGGTCTTGTTCTGGAGCGCTCCAAGCCAAAGCTGGCAGCAGCTACCAATGTAGAGCCTTGGTGAATCCACGATTTTCCTGCAAATTACGAAACTACGTAGTCAATTCTGCACGCAGTCCTCTTCAACGAGGAATCAGCTTCTTTAGTTCGGCTGCAAAAGGCACATGAAAATGCTAAAAATCTTGTTCTTCTCCAGTTATTGTGCCGTATTGTAGCTTTTGAACGGCTGTATTCCATCTACTTTTGGCATATCACTTGTTTTTTGCTCACATTAGGGAAGAAATGGCCCTGTATAACAACCGTTTCTTCCACTGGGGCTGACTATTAACCCATAACTGCCAAATTTCAATTCAAATGTTCCTAATCGCCTTAAAATGAGGCTTGGAAAAAATAGGTATTTTGTGAAAAATGGGTACGAAAATGACCAGCATCACCTGATGAGGTCAAAGAAGTGCTTTTCATATAATTCTAGAGAAAGATAGCTGCTCAATCTACTGCTGAATGATTTCACTGAATGGATTGGGTGCGATTAGCCTCTGGTTATAATTATAGCGATCGTCGCTCGCTAACGAGTCGCCTCAGGTACTTCAAAGAGAAATGAACATCGAAAACAATATCTTTCAGTTTTTCAAACAAGAATCTTGTAGAGCTCGACGAGCTGAATTCAACGGTGTAATTTCTGTATAGAAATTTTCAAAACTAAGTCAGTTACGGCGAAAAAACGAAAAAAACGCGGATCCGCGTTTTCTTCGCTTTTTGTCGAACAATTAGGACGGGTATTGTACTTGCATAAGCTCTGCAATAAGACATACAAAACAGAACTTCTACATAGAG